GAAAGCAGTATCGTATCTCGCCCTTACTTGGTCTCAGTCATCACTATCGGACACCATATAAGGGCATGGGTAGCCTCGAATCAAGTGTAATGGATAAGTATGTTAGTACAGTGATTCCAAGGCTCAAAAAAACTTATAGTGCACTCAATCTTTGCTGAAAAGAAACACTAGGGTATACATGTTGTGAGTGCACTTGCACTGCTTTACAGTGAATGGACTAAAAAATTAATATTAATGCTTAGTTTGATTCAACTTTAATACAACATTAATTTTAAATATAATTAAACTATTCCCCTTTAATTAATAATGAGAATTAAGGCATACATGTACTTGCACACACAAAAACTTTCCATATGAAAATATACTGCTGCTCATCAATCACATTAATAATTTTGACATTAGATCTTATTATGAAAACAGAATAACTGAAAGCAATGAATGAGTTATCAGTGCAATTGGCCGGTTGTATGTAATCCATTTTATTAATATGAATGTCATTAAGTATAACACAATTATGATCAGAAGTAGATCCAACTATATCATACACTACAAGAGAAAGATAAGTATTAAAAATAGTTAAATTACACCTATTGTTTAGAGGGCCGTGAGTCACTGTGTCAACTGTGTTGATGTGGCAATTCATGATACTGGGATCATACAATGTAGTTTTCACTTGTATACAGTACGAGTACATGTATTGGGTTTTAATTAAGTAATACGCTGGCAGCCAAACCAACCTTAATATAACTAAAACTTCACGTCTCTACTGGAGTATGTATTGTTAAACTTATACTATGAGTCTGTCACATGGTTCACTAAAGTTAAATAAACCAATTATTAGAAATAGGCCCAGAGTGATTGGTTGTCTTACCAATATTTCCAAATATAATTCCATTCTCTGTAGATGAGAGACTTTAATGGATGCCTTTATGTTCACAAAATCATGAGGACCAGTGGTAACAGATCCAGCTAGACTTTTCAACAAACTTTAGGCCACCATAGAGGTCAAAATTGATTTATAAATTATATCTAATAAATGCAAACAATTACACACGGATAATTAGTGGTTAGCTACTCCTTGATTCCTTGGTTACTGACATTAATTCTGCTGTACATACATGTTCATATCTTGTGTAAAAATTTAAACGGATTCAGATCAAATTGGATTTTTTGCAAATTTAAAAATCAGGCAAAAAACCTGTACAGGGTATTTTTCAAAAAATGACCACAACAGCACAACTTGAAAAGTATTCAGAATTGACTCAAACTTTCTATGTATAGTATTAGGGACTTGAATGCATGGAGCCTAACAAACTGGGATTTTTCATCAAAAAGATATTATACATCACTTCAGAATAGCATAAAAAGTTCTTCACTAAATACCTTAATATCTATAATCTCCTACTACTTTCTAGCCAGGAATGTCAACTGCAGAATTATTCCCTTGTAGACCTACCATTGCACCATGATTGTATACATCTAGCCGCACCCCCTTTATAAATTATCCGGATCAGTGAGAAACTAGAGTCCAGCATACATGCAGAACTGAGTAGAGAAAGTACAACTTAGAGGAGAAAAAAATACAATGTGTATGTGTCGCAGCTGTAAGACCTTTTGCTGGTTCATGCCAAAGCTACTATTATGCTTACGCTTCAGTAGAAGATGTATCCTTTTCACTATTTTCCTCCTGCTTTTTGTGATGATATTATTGGTACCTTACCTGGATCCGCAAACAACAAGCAGACAACAGCAGCTACTAGTGATTGATCCCGTTTTCTATTCGCATCAAAAGAAGGCTGTTAGTCCAGATTCTCTGTCCCAAAAAATTTCTCCTGATCATCCATCAAGCCACAGTAACCTCTGGATAGACTTGGATCCAGAAAAGATGACAATAGTAAGTTTGATCATAGATTTTATGCTGGGCTGACCACATAAG